GATATTACCCAGTGCCATTCTTCTCTGTCAAAACAGTTACTCTATACCGATGAACCAAAGAATTTCTTGATACTTTAGGAATTACCATTGATGCCACACCACTTCCAGCAGTGAAAGCTAATCGTCCAATGCTTGTCCAAAAAATTTCAGAAAAAAAAATAATAACAACCATATGATACTAAATGATGCTCGTGTCAATGAACTGGACATATAAGAAAGTTTAAAATGAATGAACCAGAGGAGGAATAACATAAAAGAGGACATACATCCACATTAAACACCACGATTTCTCCTGCACGAATGGGATCCTCGCTCATACGCAAGAACAAAATGTCACCCTGAAAGACATCATCATGTCAGTAAACAAGTGAAAAAATGCATTGTGATATTCAATGATAATAGGAGATAATACCAAAACTCAATGAAAAGCAGAGATAGGTTAGTGTAACAGTTAAGCACGCTACATACTAAATTAAAAGGCGCATAAATTGTATAACTGAAAGTCTGCAAGTGATACCACGGTCAATGGCTCTAGAAGGAAGAGTTGCATCAATTGGGGCAACAAGGACCATTCATAAACCCTTCTTTGATCTAGTAATGGTGGTTCATTAAACATCTCAATACTGAAACTTGAAATGACCCAAAAAATAAAGAAACCATCGCTCATTGAACGAAAATAATCAGCACATCCACTAGGCCTCTTAGCACCTCAACACTAATACATTCGTATATATACCATTTGATAGGTAAAATGAACAATCTACATGCCAAATTTAACTTAAATCCCTGAACTTTTTTATTGAAACATGATTGATTGACACTTCTGGACTAAACTAAAAGGCTTAAAACACATAAAAAATCATGGGTATTGAAAAACACAGAACTTTTACAAAGCAAGTGAGCTCAACTCACCCTTGCAAAGCCAGGCTCCATGCTTTCAGATAGTACAACCACCACAGGCGATTCACTCCCAGTCATACATATCAACCCTTTCCAAATAATCAATGCCGACGTCACAATCAAGCCTGAAACATTACATCAAACACCTTAGCCGCAATCTTTCATTAACCGCCCCCCCCCCCAACAAAAAAAAAAAAAAAAACTAGTGAAACATATATACATGGACACACACACATACATGTGTATATATATACGGACCGAGAATGAGGGCTTGGGAGAGAGCATGGACTTGATGGAGTCCAGGGTCTCCCCGAACCACCCCATTGCTTCTGGTTTCTGAGCAACTGTGAAAGCAGAGAGATTACGGGGTGTAAGTTGTAAATTCAATGCCGCTGCCTGCTCGGAGAGGAACTACAATTTGGTAGTTGGATTTCGGTGGTGGACCGGAAAGCAAAAGAAAATTGGATTTCGCGGTATTTATGTCTGCACTGCGGTGTTTGTCACCAACCAAATCATGTTTCGCCACCTGGACATGGACAGCCAAATCACAATTTTCTTTTTAAGGAAAAAAAAAAACTTCAACAACTCAACCCCATTCTCTAGAATCTCTACCATGTATCACACTTTTTCACAAAATAACGAAACATCATGGGTTCCGAGATCGGCCAAAATGACGGCGGACCATTTGGCGTCGAAAAGTAATACGGAGATGTGCGTTTCTGCTTAAGTTAACCATTTCCCATTTTCTTTGTTGCAAGTTTTGATCAAGGATGGGCTCCCATGTCTTCCGTAAATATGTTTTGATAGTGAAGGGGGCGACACCTTTGCACTTGGTGCAGCGTCTTTAGTCTTTGTTCCCTCCTTCACTGCTTTATGTTTGGTTTCCTTGGTTCTTGCCTCCTTGTAGGCCTCCCTATACTCTTGGTTGCGACCTTGGTTATGCTTATTTCCAGTTCTTCAAAATAAAAAAATAAAAAAATGAAACATCATGTGTTCTACACGGGTCACAATCATACGTTAATCTATCTTACGTGAGAATTGTCTTACTCCATCAATTTGTCTAAACTTGTTTTCTTAGAATACTCGATCAATCGTTGACTTTCTCTTTCTAGATCGATTAAGTTGATCACAAGTAATCAATCTAATTATCAAGTTTACAGATATTGTATCAATGATTGTTATTTAATTTTATTAAATTCACTTAAACGCAAGAAAAAGTCATAATTTTTTTTTTAAACGCAAAGAAAGTCATAAATGAAATGCCTAAATTTGTTAGTAACTGAAAGTATTGAATTGAAATCTAGATCGGGACATCGCAAGTCAATCCTTATGGAATAAAACTAACTGAACAAGAAAGAAGAGTATCAAAATAAAAATTGCCTAAATCTAAATCAAGACTATAGGTCGCTAAACCGTCCGTGACAAAATTCTAAATAAGCATTGAATTGATATGACTTCAGTATCTATGAAAATAAGTAAACAAGTTATAAATGACTCCCAAGTGGTAGAAAAAAATCAGTGGGATAACAAACATAAGAATAACATCTCATACACTTATCTCCAAACCAGACGTTAAAATTAGAATGAATTCTTGATATTATCACAATTTAAAAAAAAACATTTCAGATCCAATATTTTAGAAGAAAAAATATCTCAGCTTACTTCGTAACGCCAAAGAAATTTTACTGCTAAAAATCGATTAAGCATAATAAGTGAATAGATGAGAATTATTTATAAATTTATGGTTCTCGTAGTGTTTATTCTTCTAATTTATTATAAAATATAATAAAAATGGACCTGAAAATGGACCGGTCCAAAATCAAGAAAGGATTAGCCCAATGTTCCATAACGGGCCGACAAACCCAAGTGCATTACGCTCGGTATAAACGACGGCGGCCCAGAAAGCTCCTCTATAAATATCCCGGCAGTAGACGGCAAACGCTCTCCTCCTTAAACCCTAATTTGGTGCGCAACAAAACCCTAGCCTCTCTGCTCCCTCGAAACATCGACGACACAGAATGGTACCCTCTCGTTCATCTCTGATCTTCTCTTAGGGGTTTCAATCGATCGATTAGGGTTTCTGAATTGCTAATTTGTTTTGAGTTGGACTGTAATTGCAGACCGGAGAGGCAGTGAACCCGAAAGCGTACCCGTTGGCGGACGCGCAACTGACGATCACCATACTCGACCTGGTTCAGCAAGCTGCTAACTACAAGCAGCTCAAAAAGGGCGCGAATGAAGGTACTCACCCGAATGCTGCTTGTTTTTAATCCATTTTTTTATTATTTTTGTGTCAAATTTGGGACTTGGAATTTGACATTTGGGTTGTGATTCTTTTCAGCAACTAAAACCTTGAACAGGGGTATTTCGGAGTTTATAGTGATGGCGGCTGATACTGAGCCTCTGGAGATTCTTCTTCACCTTCCCCTGTTGGCTGAGGATAAGGTACTCTTTCTCTGGGGCTGAGTTTTTTTTTTTTTTTTTTTTTTTTTTTGAAGAAAGGCTGAGTTTTTCGTATTCTGAATGCTTTATTATTTGTTTGTCAGTTGGAATTTTTGGTTGGTTGATTGGGATAGTGTTGATTCTCATATGGGGGTAGTTCAGCGACATATTCAAGTGCCTTTGTTGTTTGTTTTTCTACACTTTTTGGATAAAATGTTTCTTTTTTATTTGGCTCCATAGTTGGCGTATTATTTGTCAGTTGAGTTGGTTTGTGTAGTTTCCAAAGTGTTTGATTTTCCAGTTTTCTAGTAGGCATCACTGATTTTATTTACATCTGTTGGTTGGGCTGTGTTCAACGGCTTTACATCGAGACACCAAAGATCACATGTCTGTTTCGTTTTAGAATGTACATGTCCCATATACAACAACCTTTTAAGACTTGATAGTTGGCTTATTATTCGTCAGTTGAGGTGGTTCGTGTAGTTTCCAAATTGTTTGACGTTCCATTTTTGTAGCAGGCGTTACTGAAATTTGTACCCAAACCAGGCACATTTACTATATACGTTTGGTTGGTGCTTGTGGCTGTGTTCTACGGCTTTGAATTGATGCACTAAAATCTTAAGTCCGTTTCATTTTAGATTGCACACATTTCATATGCCACACTGTTATCAATAAGCATCACGTGGTTATAGACATGTAACACCATGCCCCAAGACAGTAGCGCACTCTAAATATCGTGTGTCTGTTTCATTTTGTACTGGAACTTTAAAACCCTTTTATTTGCTGCTTCTCTCCTAAAGTCTCAGGTATGATAAACTAGTATACAACATGTTATAAACAGTGTACTTGAATTTGTGCAGAATGTGCCGTATGTGTTTGTCCCTTCGAAGCAAGCACTTGGACGAGCATGCGGTGTCACAAGACCCGTCATTGCCGCCTCTGTGACAACAAACGAGGGAAGTCAATTGAAGTCACAAATACAACAACTCAAGGTACTCTTCATTCTAGTTTTAATCTACAATTTCTGGATTTGGTTCTGTATTGTAAACATCGTATATGTAAAAATGCAGGATGCCATTGAGAAGCTCCTTATCTAAACCATTTCGGAGTGCATACTCGGTGTGATGGGCCTCTCGGACTGTAGCGAGAGCCTTCAGAGGCTTTGACTGATGGAGTTGTTGTGTACTAGGAAATCCTTTAATGTTGACTTTGTACTAAAAGTTTTGTTTTTAATGAACTGCTAGGCAGCTTGAATCTGAAATTTATTTGGATGAATTCGAGATGAGTGTTGCTGTTAAGTACAAGCTTATGTAACAGAGTGATTGCCTTGTTCTTCGGTTGCTATTTCAGAGAGATCATTAGTCATGCTTTGCTTACTTTTCTGTGTTGATTTGGTGGTTGAATGAAGGGCTCTTTCGGCTGAATGAGCTCCCTCGCTAGAGGTTATTTTTGGTTAAAAATCGTTGCTACCGAACATTTCTTGGTTCAAACAGAGCTCAAGTAAAAACACTCCCTATCAAAAGTCTTGGGTTTAGGGCAATTGAATTTCCCAAAATTTTACGTAATGCTTGTGGACTTGTGATCAACTTAATGCTTCCAAGAGTGTCCAAGATATATGTTATCTTAAAGATGAATTTCCCTCTCTTTTTTCTTTAAACTTTTGCTACAAAAGAATAATTATGGTACACAATCATGAGTTGCTTCGGCCTCAAATGTTTCACATGTACATATTCAAGGCCCTCACAGTCAGTGATCTCGTCTCCCTCACATTCTCCCTCAGAACTTTCATCTCCAATCCTAAGCATTTCGCCATTCTCCAAATCTCTTCCGAAAGCGGGTGAGACGTATCTCCCGACGAAAACGGATGCAAACACAAGGAACCATCAGCAGCATCACCACCACCAGTGTCCACCCAGCTAAACCCAACTTCCTTTCTCACTCCCCTATCTCTCATCCATTTCCGTACTTTCGCCACCATTTCCCAGTCCCCTTTCTCAGCATACAAGTTCGACATCTGCACGTAAGCACCTGACTCCGTCGGTTCCAATCCCATCAGCGCGTTGGATACTCTCTCACCCATCTCCACATTCCCGTGTATCCTGCATGCCCCGAGCAGGCTTTGCAGCAGCGAAAACCCTGGCTGTCCTGGCATCTGACTGATCAACTCCTCCGCTTCCTCCAGTTTCCCTGCCCGCCCCAACATGTCCACCATGCTTGAATAATGCTGAGGAGATGTCTCAATCTGATAGTCTTTGATCATTGAGTGAAAGAGATGACGCCCGGTCTCAACCATTCCCTTTCTGCTGCAGGCAGCTAGTACAGAAAGAAACGTGATTGAATCGGGTTTAACCCCTTCTCTTACCATCTCCTCGAACAATTCTATTACCGAGTCACAGTCTCCATGCGCAGCATATGCAGATATTATTGCAGTCCAAGCAAACTGACTTTTGTGAGGCGTTTCACTGAAAACTCTTTCGGACTCACTAATACTTCCTCGCTTTGCATACATGTCAAGAAGAGCACCTGCGATGATCGGGTCAGTTACTGATCCAAGTTTGATTAAAAATGAGTGGCATCGTTGGCCATACTTCAGAGATATATCGTGAGCATCGCCAATTGCGCTCAAGACACTGCCAAATGTGTAATTGTTTGGCGTCGCCTCCATAGTTGCTACTAAGAATGTTTTGAGAGCATCCTGGCACAGCCCATTCTGAGCATACCCTGAAATCAAAGCGTTCCACGATATGATTTCTCTGCATTCCAACTCCTCGAAAACTTTGATGGAGTCCTGCATGGACTCAAACTTAGCATACATTGTGATAAAGCTGTTGCAAACATTATCCTTAGACAAAAATCCAGTCTTTATGCAAAACCCGTGAATCATTCGGCCTTCTTCCACCTGCTTCCCAATCGTTACAGCGTGGATTAGCCCAACAAATGTAACATCATTTGGATATACTCCATCAAGTCTCATCTCATTAAACAGAGAGATGGCATCTTCTTCGTCCATAGAAATCATAGTCGTCCAAGAAACTACATTGCGATCGTTCGTGTGCTGAAACACCAATTTTGCATCTTCAGTATCCTCACACTTTGAATATGTCGAGATCAATACATTACAAACTGAAACATGCCTTCCGTATCCTGATTTTATAGTCACGCCATGTATCTGTTTCCCAAGTCCTAAATTCTGTTCATGACCGCAAGCTGAAACTGCACTAGTAAATGAGACATGATCTAACTCCACCCCTTCTCTCATCATCTCAATAAAGGCCAAAACCGCTTCAAGCCCGTGATTTCCCTCTTGCGAATAACCTGATAGTATTGCATTCCATGAAACCAGATCCTTATTCCACATTTCATCAAACACGTTCCTAGCTTCTATTAGATGTCTCTGCCTCGAATACATACTTATGAGTGCATTCCCAACAAAAACTTCACAATCCAAACCGGACTTAAATATGAGAGAATGAAGCTGCCATCCAAACAGAAAGTCCTCATGCTCCGCACAAAAGGAAAGAACGGTTGTATAAGTCACTGGATCAAAAACAACTCCATTCAAGTTCATCCTAATAGCAAAACTCAATGCACCCTCACTCGACCTGAACCCCGAAAGAATTGTATTCCAAGAAACTATATCCTTATAACACATCCTCTCAAAGATAAATAACGCACTATCAAACTCTCCAGCTTTCGTGTACATACTCATCAAGGAATTCAAAACCGTAACATAAGAAGCAAACCCAGAAGAAACCGCAAACCCGTGAATTTGGCACCCGGGTTTGAGGTCCCCTTGACAAGCCTTGACAGCAAGGGTAAGAGTAACTTCATCGATATTCTGTGACGAACATAACTGAACCTGCTCTCTGAAGATGCCGAGGGCTCGACGCGGAAGGTTTCTGTGTAAGTTGTTGAGCATAGCGTGGTTAACCGATGCTGCTGCGTTTGGTTGGGGATTTTGGTCGAACAGTTGGTGCTCATGTTTGAATGAGTGGAAGTTAGAGCATGTCGTGAACCGTTGGTTAGGTATTCGTTGGAGGGCTTTGAAATTCAGTTGGCGGGTAATCATGGGAAACTGACAAACCGCCGATTGTAATCGGAAACTAGCATTTGGCAGAGAGAATAGGCAGATCCTTGAACCTTCTCCAAGTCTAAAACCCTGTGTTCTTCACTTTCTTGTCTTGTAATATGAAATGGGCCTTTTGTATTTTGGTAAGATGTAATAAAACGGGCTTTATAAATGATTTGGAAGCCCATTGGGTTTTATCTTGCCCATTCCAATAATCATTCAAGCCCTAATCCAAGATGAATAATGATCCGACAATCTAGCCTAGGGACATAAATAAATACGTTACGGTGTATGCGGAAATCATTTTCCAACATACATGGGACTCATTCCGATAGTAATGTGATTATTCTTTTTTGTGTCTAAATAACATTACTTCTTTTATATTGGCTTTCATCTGCGTGACCTACTATTGGCTTCTAGATCAGCGAAAATCTAAGTAACACATTATGTGACGGAAGCTAACATTGCAATGAATCTAATTTTGAGTAAGCATGTAGGAGGTGAAATGTAATTTGACCATTGATTTTAGGGATTGAGACAGAAGATATATGTTTGTTATTAAATGTCTGTTGTGATTGAGTATGATCCTCTCTACCTGTATAGAACATGAAGGGGCAGCAGCTACAATAATAACTTTATCTATCTGGTTCTAGAATATGAAGGCAGAGTTGGTACAATGCTACAAAAATATTTATATGAATGAATGCATAATTGATGGAACAACTTGAAAGTTGTACATAATATACATATATCCACACCGGTAGATTTAGGATTTGAATTTTTTGGGTGCTAATGTTAAAAGGTTCAAGTTTTTAGATAGAAACTTGGCAAAAAGTGTACAAATGTCGATATCTATTGTTTATATGTCAATAAATATCAACATTTGCTGAAGCAATCTGATGAGTGTTATAGAGAGTGTTTGTTGACGCAACTTGTCAAGATATGCCTTGTAAACATTACATCAAACACTTAGTGAGTACAAAAAGATATATGTACCAAACATTCGAAGAGTCCTTAGATGACCTTCACATGCTTGTTTCCTGGCCTACGGATGGTCTCAGGATCATCCTGATCCCAAAGTACAACCATCGTATTGAATATACATATACAAGTGCTTTTAAGTGCAAACCAATTAGTAGCTTAATAAGATGCTAACCAGTCGTAAAATCATACAAATCATGCAGTATATTTCCATTTCCTCTTCCTCTCCAAATTGGTAGGTAGGCTGTATGGTGAAACCAGATTCAAACAGTTGTTATTAATTAGTGGAATCCCACGTGGCCACATGCCATGTTCAACGCCAGGCTGACAAACTGATCACATATATTATTATACCTTTTCGTCTCTTTAGTTTTGAGTAATATATGAAAGAATGCAGACAAATCGAGTTTAATTTTTTCTTAATTCGTTTTTGTTTTTTTACAAATAATATTTTATCTACGTTAAAGAAGAAAAAGTGGGCTTAGTCTCACAATAGGCTAATAATAATGTGGTTCAAACTCATATTTGGCAAGAATCAAACCTAAAATCTTTTACTTATAAATGAAGAAGAATATCATTATAGTACTAAGTGGTCTAGTACCTGTTACTATTAAAAAAGGACTTCACTTCTTTTTTTATTCAAATCTGGTATACACTGCACTGGGTGTAGTAAATATTTATTAAATGTCGGTTTTTCAATAGGTAAGATTGATATTTGTAATACCCTAACAATGGATTTGAATCCTCTCCTGAGCTAATGGAGATGATCCTCTTGACCACTAATCATGGACCGTTGGATTTTTATCCAACGATTATAATTATTATAACTTTAAAGGGACCCCCTGTTTGTAACCGTTGGATAAAAATCCAACGGCCCATGATTAGTGGTCAGGAGCTCAGGAGAGGATCCAAGTTCCCCTAATAATATTGATAATGTATCAATACACGTCACCATATTTGAATACTTTTATGTTATCTATTAATTTTAGAGAGTTTTAATGAAATACTCTCGGTACTATTTACTTTTAACGAAAAATCACATTTTTACCTTTCTTTGATACTATTCACTGTATCTTTATTTATCATTTTTCATTAAAACTAAATTCTAAAAAAACTTTTTATTATTTTTTCTTTAATTTTAATGACGAATTATTGACACCGTATCAGTCCATCTTTTTGAAAATTGAGTGCAAACTGTTCAAATACAAGAGAGACTTTGGTCATATCACACATACAGATGTGCCTCCCTCAACTTATTCTGGCTGAGTAGGGTTTCAGTATTTAAATTAGTCAAATCTCTCCATCCGAAGGCACCAAATCAGACTCAGCAAATAATTGTTAATTGGGTTGTTTGGTGAATTCAATATGGCAATATGCTAATCTATTTGCTTAATTTATATCTTCAATTTGATATATTTTTTTACCAGACCATATATATATATATATACTAAGAGAAAGGGGTGGGCTAGGGCTGGTTTGGTATTACTGTGCTTTGAAAAAAAGCTGCTGTGAAAAAAATCAGCAGAGTGTTTAGTAAACTTTTTTGTAAAAGTGCTTTTGAAAAAAAAAGCAGTCTGATAGTGGGTCTTTTCATTAAAGGAGCAATGTAGCTCCGTGTGCTTTGAAAAAAAACCAGTTTTCCAAAGCTACAAATAGCAGCTTCAGCTTTTTTCTTTGATTTCAGCTTATTCTCACAGCAGCTTCCAAAATAAGCCCTTTTTTTTTCAGTTTACCAAACACCTAAAACCCTCACAGCTTTTTTTCATTGGTGCTTTTTTTTTAAGCACTCACTCCCAAACCACCCCTTAGCCTCACAATAGACTAGCAATAATGTGATTCAGATTTGCCTTTGACGAGAATCGAACCTAAAACTTCTCACTTATAAGTGAAGAGAAATACCGTTAAATCATAATACTAAATGGCTTAAATTTGATTTTTAAGGAGAGAGAGATTTGTCTCGTTTTCCCGTGAAGTAATTTCTACACACCTATTTTATCTCATTCCCATTGTTGTGTTTATTCCTATCAACTATATGATACAAGCAAACGAGAATTAATAAGCAAATATAAACAAAGGTGATGAAAAAAAATGAGTGAAAATTATTTTCACATCTCCAAAGAGTCCAAATATAATTTCGTTTATGTTTGTCTTAATTTTTATTTTATACAAATAACGTGACAAAGAGAAACCGAATTCAGAATTTTAATAAACGATATTATCTATCTACACTAAGAGGGACTAAGGCCGTCTCCAACCGAAGGGTGCAGAGGGACTAAGGTCGTCTCCAACCGAAGGGTGCAGAGGGCCGAAAATAGCCGTCTCCAACCGAGGGCTAGGCTAGAGGGCTCATGGACCCCACGAAATCTGAAAGGGCCAAAGGGCTGGTTGCATGCAGCCAGCCCAGGGCTGGCCAGAAATTCCAGCAATCCTGTCAGATATAACCGACAGGATTGCTTAAACAAAAATTTGAATTCAACAGCTAGCTGACGCCAGTTACCATTGGATACATTTTTTTTTTGGTTTTTTGGGCCTTTTTTTTTTTAATTCTTAAAAATTCTAATTTATTTTTCCTATAAAAACCTAAACCATTCATTCACCATTCCACACAAAATTTTCACCATTCCTACACCATTTTAATTTGTCGTTTTTAAATTTAAGTTGTAGTTTTTAAATATAAGTTGTAGTTTTTAAATTTAAGTTGCTGTTTTTAAATTTAAGTTGTTGTAGTTTTTAAATTTAAATAATAAATTATGTTTGGCCATTGGTTGGAGACGGTTTTTTGTGACAGGGCTAAAACGAGCCTTATAGCCCTTTGGCCCTCGGTTGGAAATGGAGGCAAATATGGCATTGTACTGTTCATTAAAATATTAATATCTTAGAGGGCCAAATGGCTAAAACGAGCCATCTGGCCAGCCCTCGGTTGAAGATGGCCTAGGGAAGGGGGTGAGCTTAGCCTCACAATGGGCTAGCAATAATGTGGTTCAAATTCGTCTTTGACGAGAATTGAACATAAGTCCTCTCATTTACAATCATATTAATAGGGGCTTTTAGATTTTGGGGTTTAACCTAGATTCTATTTATATTTTAATCTAAATGGTTTCTAAATCTAATTCAAGTCCCTATTATTAAAACTCACCACATTTAAATATTTATAGCACACTTATTATTTGTAAACGTCTCTCCTCATCTTCGATGAAAAAGAAAGAAATTCTCTCCTCATACAAAATTAATGTATTTTGTTTTCTCCAATCATATTAATAGATAAAAATTATTCAAAATTCAAATTCTTATAATTAAATAAAAGTCAACAACAATACATATAATTAAATTAATTTATTTTGTTTTCTCCAATCATATTAATAGACAAAAATTATTTAAAAAAACTCATAGATATGGAAATATCGGTATGAATACATGAATTTTGATACAAGTGTCTTGGTACATAACTATAGTACATACATAGGTACGTAATATGCATATACATATATATGAAGAAATTCACGCACAATAAAAAATAGATGATAATATATGACTTCTATTTTTATGAGAAAACTAATAATAATTATCAATAATAAATAACATTTTTGTTGTTTATGAAAATCAATATATAACCTAAACACAAAAAGCTCAATAATTAATACAACCAAATTAGTATTCAAATATTAAATGCCAAAGATTAGAGTTAATTTTTAATCTTGTGCACGGTTTTATGCTAAAAGTAATTTTTTTTCAAAGATTGGAATAAAATTTTCTGATTTTCTTAACTAGCTGAGTTAGGAGCCGTTGCTTGTTTTGATTTATTTAGTCTCCTACCAGAGCCACGCCAGCTCATGCCAACGAAGGCTCCCTCACTCACACCCGATCCCATACCTTATAAGCTTATCCCACTACACTACACAGCACCCCATATCCTCACACCTATCATGGCTTCCACACCTTCCTCCTCCCTCCTCCTCACCGCAGCCACCGTCCTCCTCCTCCTCCTCATTTCCCACACCCAAGCCCAAACCGCCCCTGCCCCAAGCCCCGCCGGCCCCCTCAACTTCACCGGCCTCCTCGACAAAAACGGCCAGTACTCCACCTTCATCCGCCTCCTCATCTCAACCCAAGTAGCCAACCAAATCACCAACCAGCTCAACAGCTCCACCGAGGGCCTCACCGTCTTCGCCCCCACCGACAACGCCTTCGACAACCTCAAAGCCGGCACCCTCAACAGCCTCGACACGCAACAGCAAGTCGCCCTCGTCCTCTACCATGTCCTCCCCAAGTACTACACGTTGGCCAGCCTCTTAACTGTGTCAAACCCCGTTAGGACTCAAGCCACCGGACAAGACGGAGGAACTTACGGACTTAACTTCACCGGGTCCGGAAACCAAGTCAACGTTTCGACCGGGATCGTGGAGACCCAGATCAACAATGCACTCAGACAGCAGTTTCCCCTTGCTGTGTACCAAGTGGACAAAGTGCTTTTGCCTTATGACTTGTTTGGTGCCAAGGCACCTGCTTCCGCTCCTCCTCCATCAAAGGCCAATTCGGGCAGCGGCAGCGCTAACGAGACGACAATAAAGCCTGCCTCTTCACCGGATAATTCCGGTGCCGGTTCAGTTTTGAGCAATGTGGGATTCATGGGTTTGGCTCTTGGGTATCTTTTCATGGGAACTTTCTTGTAACTAAGAAGAGTTTGAGTTTGATGATGGAGATTGATCCTAGTGTTTGTTAAGTTTGTCTTTGAGATTTTGGGAGCTCTGTGAGAAACACGATTTGTGCAGTACTTTGTGTGGTTTGTGTTACGATCTAGACCTACCAACATTCATGTAATTTGTAGTAATTCTATATATCTGTCTCTGTTTTTGGTTCTTTGAATCGGATTGTTTGATTGGGGTCCCCTAAAGAAAGAGAATTCCATACATTATGCATTCATGTTCATAAGATGCATTTGCAAAATTAATATTAAGATCTAAAATGTAGGTTTTTTTTTAATACAAAGATATGTTAAGTTACTCTAACATACTGAGTAATATGATTGGTCTAAAATACAATAATATAAACACATTATCATAATAAACTGATTTAACTTATGTATGCAAATCTGCAATACAGTTAATAAAGATGTGTTTAGCAAGTTGGACTGAAAAAAAAGATGATGTGCATAGCATTTGGTTTGGACTTTGGATGATTTAAGAAAGATTGCACTAGTAGTCACATGCATGGCTAAATAATTAGTTTGAACAATGATCCAGTTGCCATTATTATATAACAAAATTTTATAACTTAAAAATCATTGTCATGTTCAAGTTTATATAAAAATTATAAATCTCGAAAACAAAACGTGATTGTGGTGGTGTTGGCTTCCAATAGAAGCAACTGAATTCTATATCAACTTTGGCTAATTATGTCCTTCAGACTTAATGTTAATACATCTGGAATGAACAAAAAAATATAAGTTGCATGAATGCATTCAATACCGTGACATGCAAAAAATTGAACTTCGCAATCATGAAACTGGATCAGGTACGGTGGCCTTTATGTGGCCTACATCATTATTGATATGTGCTAAGTTTATAAAAATAAAGTTGAGAAGTGTTAAGCTTATTAGCACGTGTTAATTAGTAACAGAGACCACACACAAATGAATACCGAAGATTTGAACTCCCTAAGCTACTTGATGAAATTAGTGTTAAATTCTTTAATTAGGTACAATTGGGGAAGGACTATCCTTAAAACAATTGATAAACTATACCGAATTCACTAAAAAAGAGACGAAATTAACATTAATCAACTTAATTTGATATGAAAACATTAATCAACTTAAACTAAATATGTGAAGAGTCACTGAAAATTCGTAGATGAACTCATGAAAGCCTGTAAATTTCATACAAATGAACAAGAAGTAGACATTTATTTCTTGTTGTGTTGTTTTCCAATAGAACTGTTAAAATAAAAAAATTAAAAAAAAATTGTTAAATAAATATAACTGTTAAAATATTGATCATCACCGGATCTCTTTCCTTAATGGCACCATTAATTGAAAATACATATAGAATTAATTAAGAGCCCATATTGCTTTATTTAATTAACTCGTAACCTATCTTCCATCCTGTGGTCGTGCCGGAGTGGTTATCGGGCATGACTAGAAATCATGTGGGCTTTGCCCGCGCAGGTTCGAATCCTGCCGACCACGTTCTTGTTAAACTTTTTTTTTCTTTTTCTCTTTTTTAACCATTTGGACGATTAATGCTGACCTCTTACAAGAATGATGAGTTTTTGGGACATGGGTTTCTTAACTCTCGTTTCTGAATGAAAATTAATATTTTGAATGGTTAGGTTGATTAATGACTCTTTTCGTTTAAGGGAACCAAAAGGGATTATACATGAAGAATGCTTATTCCTTTTAATTCTACAATTTAATGGTTAGATATTGATCCGTTGATGAGATAAATCTCTTTCATAAGTAATTCATCATCTACTTTTAAGCTGGACAAAAGTTATTCATTTCTTAACTCTCATTTCCAAACCTCGAGCCCTTTAAAAAAAAATTATATTATTAAAAGGAAGGAGAATGATTTCAAACTACTACAATAATTTAAAGAGGGGAGAGTTTCGAATCCAAAATGCATAGGTAGAAACTCAATACCCTATCCACCAAGATAAATTGGAGATTGCAACAAAAATCTTGTCCAACTGCTGCATGCATATCAGACATGTATAAACGCATGATGATTAGCTTGAGATAGGCTTAATTAACTAATTAGGAAGAGTTTGTTTTGCATCGCAAGGTTACATCAGTTAAACAGAAATGAGTAATCATGTTATATATGAACCTAAATAAAGATGCATCAATATTTTGAAACAAAATATGAGACATCATATATATATATGATGAGTCATCTTTATATATGTATGACAATTTGACCTTAAGGGAGACTAAACGTGTAGCTAAAATTTTGTTAACTAAATTACATGAAAGTTGATAATTGGATTAACTTGTTTATTTCTTATCGGTGACACATAATTTAATTTGTAAATTTAATCTACAATTTGAGGCTAGGGGAGTGTAATTTTATTTCTTATTCTTCGACCAAATATGAGTCATGTAACATCCCACATCGTCCAGGGGAGTGGATCCTCTAAGCCTTATATGTATATTCTCATCTCTACCTAGCACGACGCTTTTTAGGAGCTCACTGGCCTCGGGTTCCATCGGAACTCTGAAGTTAAGCGAGTTCGCGCGAGAGCAATCCCATGATGGGTGACCCACTGGAAAGTTCTCGCGTGAGTTTCCAGAAACAAAACCGTAAGGGCGTGGTCGGGGCTCAAAGCGGACAATATCGTGCTACGGTGGAGTCAAGCCTGAGATGTGGTGAAGGCCTAGGTTGGGATGTGACAATTTGGTATCAGAGCCAATCCTTGTCCGGAAGTGTGCCGATGAAGACGCCAGGCCCCTAAGTGGGGTGGATTGTAACATCCCACATCGTCCATAGGAGTGGATCATCTAAGCCTTATATGTATATTCTTATCTCTACCTATCACGAGGCCTTTTGGGAGCTCACTGACTTCGGATTCCATCCGAACTCCGAAGTTAAGCGAGTTTGCGTGAGAGCAATCCCATGATGGGTGACCCACTAAGAAGTTCTCGCATGAGTTCCCAAAAATAAAACCGTGAGGGCGTGGTCGGACCCAAAGCGGACAATATCGTGCTACAGTGGAATTGAACCCGAGATATGATGAGGGTCCGAACCAAGATGTGACAAGTCATCACATGTATGATCCTTTTCCTCTATTATTATTATGTGGTTAAAGTTAATGCATGAAATCGAAATCCATAATCTATCTAATTAATTAATGACCTTAAAGGTGATAAGACATCCTTCACTTACAGACTTCGGATTCCATCACGAGGTATTTTGAGAGCTCACTGACTTCGGATTCCATCCGAACTCCGAAGTTAAGCAAGTTTACGTGAGAGCAATCCCATGATGGGTGATCCACTAGGAAGTTCTCACATGAGTTCCCAAAAATAAAACCGTGAGGGCGTGGTCAGATCCAAAGCGGACAATATCGTGCTACAGTAAAATTGAACCCGAGATATGATGAGAGTCCGAACCAAGATATGACAAGTCATCACATGTATGATCCTTTTCCTCTATTATTATTATGTGGTTAAAGTTAATGCACGAAATCGAAATCCATAATCTATCTAATTAATTAATGACCTTAAAGGTGATGAGACATCCTTCACTTACAGAGTTCAGACTGCAGATATTTTGCATTCATTAATTCAAATTTAATTAGATTGACAAGATCTGCTCACCACTGTAAAAACCGATCGATATAAATCTTTCATGGCATTGCCATTGCAGCTTACTGATATTGTTAAAAAATCAGAAAAAATTATTTTTCATGTTTTAAACAACCGTGCCCACTTATCTATCATGGTATTGGAAAGAAAAATGATAACATAAATAAAATAATATAATATGGGGAAATGACAAGAGTCCAAAGGGATATTTATTCCTGGTGGGATTATGGAATTATATATATTCAAGGGTGAAGGTGTGGGGAGTGGGGACTTGCTTCTAGAAACCCCAAGAGGGTTTGCCTGCTCAAGTGATGGGTTTTATTTCTCTCATCTTTTCTGAGTTCTAGAAAACACTTCATACTTTTGCTCATATGTGCATGCTACCCCAACGGCCGGTGGATATATATGGATGAAAGTTCAGCAACTCAGTGTTGTCTGTTGTCAAAACGATACACACGATTTGATGTATTAACCCGATCGAACTCAGTACTGATTTGGTACTGACGTAATTTTATAAAAAATGGGTATAAAAAAAACTCAGCTCAAAAAAATGTTTGGTAAACACTTAAAAATATTTTATTTTCATAGTTTTTGGTTAAAAAAAAGTTGAAAACGTAAAGCAGAAAAAATGAGATTATTCTCACAGTATAGTAGAAACAGTTTTTTTTCTTTTCAAAGTACAACAATATCAAACCAGCCTTTAGAAACAACGATAAAACGCTACAAATTTGGAAAACGGACATCCCTACTATGCCCCGGCCATACCCCTTAACTCGCTCGTTCAACAAATGTCACAGCCCGTCCCGAGAATTAATTATCGTGGTTGTGAAAATATAGATTTACCCTTGAGCGTTGGATGTGTGTTTGTGTTTTGGGTTAAGGAATTGGGTCAATTAGTTCTATTCCCAACTAATTGGACCCAATTAGAACAAAAGGATTAAACAAATTTGATTGGTGTGCATTTTTGGACCACACACACATCCATACCCCTTTCTCTCTCTTCTCTCCCGTGCTATCTCTCTATCTCTCAGACTCTCTCTCTCTCTTTCTCCCTCTCGGCATTGTGTACGAACAAACACCAAAATCCATTCAAACTTCATAGATCGAGGACGTTGAAGGTACCATCGTGTTCCTTGCAAGCTCAGGAACACATCTAGACCATTTTCAGGTAAGGACAACTTTGTCTTCATGTCGAAACTATAACCCTGATTTGGGATACTGTTCATGCAAACGTTAAATCTTGTGTTTTTGGAAATTTCAAGCTCACAGGAAGCTTAAGGAGGTCCTCACGAGTCTCGGGGTACTTCATTGGAAGGAAATGGACGTCGGAGGGCCGAGATCGAAGCTATTCTAGGTAAGCCAAACTATCGAGCTTTCCTTAGGAAAAATGTAGCAGTTTTTAGGTCTTAAAACTGTTATAATGTGATTGTGGATGTCCCTAGCTTCATTTTGGTACAAATTTCATGAAAAATGGTTAAGAAACAAGCGAGAATAGACGTTTTAAAGTTTTACCCAGTTTTCCGGCGACCGGCGACTCGTCGGAGAAGATGACGGCATATTCCGTTAGTTTGGACGGAATATGCTGACGCCGTCAGTCATTTTTAACAGAATCTGTTAGATTTTAACGGAATATTCCCTAACGGCAATTAGGGAATCCGTCAGTGCGCCTGCGCGTGGGCCGCACTTGAGGCCGTGCCCTCCCAGGCGCGTGAGCCACAGAAAAATTATTTTAAAAATATCACGATGTTCATGAGGTTGTGTAGATCACGTTGGTATATTCAAATACCAAAATTGAGCAATGCATGAGAAGTTATTAGCTAGTTTTGCCTATGTGCTTTAAAATAGCGTTTTTATAGTTCATTCGCAAATAGGTGAGACTTATCCCGAGGACGAGCGTATCCACGAGCGACTCGGGGGTTACGACCCGTCGACATACCAGTGAATGAGCTTTTGTTTTCAGTATATATTTATTTACTTGATATATTCCTAGAAATGTATTTTTTTTTTTTTAGGAAAGTATGCTTTGAAATAATATACCAAATGCTTTTATATTCTGAATATGCATTTCATGGTTGCATATATATATAAATGTGGTGTTATGGAGGCACAGGTAAGTTCAAGTAAGTTATGTTTGGTTATGTGAATCATCGATGATGTGATATGTGATTGAATAATGTTGAGCTCATAAAACTGCACCTAGGGTGATTGTAATTTAGCCAGAGATGTGAAGTACATGCCTGTTTATTTACGTCACCTCCCGCACTGTATGCTCATATTGGATCCAACTTAAGTGCACAATCTTGTCGTACATACCTTATTTATGGTTCCGACTCATAGGTGACTAGCGATTTATCGCCTGGTTATTATGAGAGAATAGAATTGAGCATAATTATATTACACCCAATCTTGTCGTACATACCATTTTTTAGTGGTTTCGACTTATGTGCAGTATATTGCCTTATAGGTCATTGTAGTGACTCCGGCTAGATTGACTTTTGAGCAATGAATTCAGCCGTATAGACTACCACAGGGGTTTCGGCTAACATATCATATTTCTATGAATTTATTCTTACCTGAATTGCTTACTCTGTTATATATTGGCATGTCATATATTTGAATATGATTATGTGAAGCATGAATTGAATTGATATGATTTCATATATATATGTGTGTGTGTGTGTATATATATATATTATGTATATGCTTATATTCTAATTATGGGAAAAATTATACATGTTTTACAGTGAGGGGTTAGATATGTTGATAAAGAAAATGATTTTGTAAAACATTTGTTTTTGCCCACTCACGTTTTCTGTTTTGCACCCCTCCAGGTTTTAAGTAAGCTTACTGTTGGTGGCTTGAGGACGTCGGCATTTCTGACTTATCTAAATAATAGTAGGACATTCCTGGTACTGTATAACTAGTACTTGTCCTACTGGACTGCACTTAGACTTTATGCTCTGATTATGAGTGTTTACTGTTGTAACTAACTCTTATCACTTTCTGTTTAGTAGTGCACTCTAATAATTTTATTCGTATAATACTTATCATTATCGCTTCTGCATTGTGCACATGGCTACATGACTCTCACGTGACGACCATCATGCCTTGATCTCGGTCGGGGTGTGTCAACAAATATGCAATATTGGCCTTGGATTTGAGGGTTTGACATTTGAAAACTTTTCTTTTTCACGTTAAAGATTAGTATATCATCACTATTAAGATCGACAAATTGCCTAGCAGAAATAATAGAAAGTAACAAACACTTAAGAGACTTACAGATGCATGGAGAGGGTTTTTTGGTGGGGCAGCAAAAACACTTAACATTACGGGTGCGTTTGTTGCACCGGACTATCTCGGACTGGACTAGGTTCAGGGACTAAGCTGGACTGGCTTAGACTAGACTAAGCTGGACTAACTTAGTGAAGCGTTTGGTGCAGTGTCGGATTAAGAAGCAGGATAATGAAAATAGTATTGTCACCAGTTTGGTGTTTGCTCGGACTGAGACTAAATTATTATTCTAATTTAATTTCTTTTTATTTAAAGATATTATCAAAATTAATAATATTAGATAAGAGTATGACTCAATAAAAAATAAAAACAAAACCAAATTTCTTGCCAACGAAAGAAACATACATGATTCAAGAGTAGTATTGCTCCAAACATCAATATAACAAAGGTGTTTTCCTAACAATTGACGGGTTTTAGAATGCTTTTCTTAATTATTCAACTTTGGTTTGATTGCATTCAATCCCAAGACCACAATGATGTGTGAGGCGCAATGGCAAATGGATAGCCGAGCCTTGATCATTGCTACATTTGGATTTGAGCACGTAAATTGCTTGCTCCAACTAGTTTGAAGAAAACCAATAACAATATGCAAAAGGAAGAGATCATGAATATACCTCGAGCAAAATACACAACGTTTGGAGCAAAGGATTGTCAAAAGTGAAGCAACAAGTTTTAGCTGAGGGAATGTAAATTTAAATGTTATGATACAGACAAAATTTTGCTATTCTAACTAATTTACTGACTAGACTAAAACACAAGCTTGTTTAGGCTACACGAATACGATCGTACTCCTGCACTATAGCTCCTCTGAGTCGACTCCTTACATGAACATACAGTTACAAACAATTAAAATCTATTGAATCAATAACATGCCTTTTGTTGCTCTAGCAAGCAAGTTGGTGCCTGCACATGTAACAACTTGCTGCATCAAAACTGCCATTTATGACTCTACTACGATGGCTGAGTCTGATCTCACCGAAAGCAGACCAAAGATGTAAGCAAGAAAGCAGACCAAAGATGTAAGCAAGCCGCACCTTATGGCATCCATCAATTGCAGCGTATACAATATATGAAATAGCTTTGATGGTTTCCACAGCATAGCCAACTATTTCACCTTTAAATTCCGAAATTTCACAAGTAATATCATCATTGGTCCAAACCTCAGAAACAAGGACAGAACTCAAATAACACAAAAAGATCTGCAAGGAAACAATAGATCACTATCACTCAATGGGGGAAAAAGCCATCTCTATGTTATAGAATTCAGAGATGTAAGCCTACAAAGCTGCCTACCTGTGAACGGTTCAAGTTGTATTCATCAGCTAATGTTAAAACATCCTTCAAAATGTGCTTATTCTCTAACTTGACTGAATCAATCAAGGGACGCACAACACTCTTAATATAATCAAAGTCCTAAGACTAAAAGCGTACTGTGTCAACACCAGGGATTATTTTCTCTAATGCTGTACAACGATCTGCAAACGCTTTTGGTCTTCTAATTTTAATTTCCATTCCCTCCAAAAGGTAGACTGCACCTTGTCAAATTTGCCTATTTCACCTGAATCCAATAAAACAACATACAAAAAACCATGAACTCCTTATCATTGTAAAAATGTACATGCATCAATAATATTACTCTTTTTCACATTTCCACTGCTTGGAGCTTTAAGATGATAGCATAGCAAATTGTAAATAAGTGTAGCAGATTACCTGTGTGTTTTTCTTTGAACTTCCTTAGTAGCAGCTCCCTCCTTTGCGTAGGATCTTCACACTCAAATGCTGAACTATACAACAAGCTATATGTCATCCCCACATTCATGATGCTAGAAACTTCTTGGTAATCCTTCCTTGTTCTAAGCTGCTCCTCTATCACTTCAACCCCACTCACAGCATCCAACATATTCAACAGAAATGAGCAACCCACTATGTCTTCCTCTTTGGTAACATGTGGTTCAATTATTGATTTTGCCAGAGACACGACCACATTGTCGGTAGGAGCAAAACCATTTCTCGCCAACTAGGATAGAATGGTCACTAGAGCCTGTGTTCTTACACTGACATATTGCTTTCCAGGAATCAAGTTACCACTTGACTTCTTACTGTGTTCTCTATTCCTACTTAATTCCTACTTAAGCTCACGCAGCCATGGAAGTTGCAGGGCAGAAAATGTCACAAAATTTCCATTTTCTCTCAAAATAGATTCCCGTTCGTATAAATACGATTACAAATAAAGTACCAATTCGCAAATCACAAACTTTCGCATATATAAGAAAATATCAGCAAATGGTCAGACTTACGTAGTCGTTTAGCTGGCGAGCAGCAGATTCAACTTCTTGAACACTTGACATAGCCACAAACCCAAATCCTCTACTTCTTGCGGTCGTCTTATCATATATCACCTGCTAAAAACCTTCCAAATTTAACCCACAAAACACTAAACCAGCAACAACCGATTTCACTTTTCACCCAAATTTCAAGTAAAATTTACAAAATTTCGAGTGAAAACAAGGAATTACCTTGACCATCTGGACATTTCCAACGCTCTCAAAGATACTAGCAAGCTGAGCGCTATCGACGCTGAAGGGAAGGTTACCCACGAAGAGTTTGAGGTCAAAAGAGGCCTCTCCGTCGTCGCTGAGAACCTCCTCGTCCTGCTCGAACTCGGATGAGACGGCGAAGTCGTGAAAGAGATGGGAGATGGCAAAGGTGCGAAGGAGAAGAAGACGGATGGATCAGCTGCGAGGGAGGACGGGACTAGGAGTCTGCTCGAAATCGAGGGCTCTCGCTAAGAACGGCTAGCGAGGCGTTCAGTCGGGGCGAGTCCCCTTTAGTCTCATTAACGTTTGTCCGTGTAAATAACAAACATCAGACTGGACTATTATTTAGTCTAGTCCAGTCCAAAGAATGCTAGTGAAGGCAAACAAACATACCCTACAAGGCTTGGCTAGCCAGGTGACTTCACAATCAAAATTTTAAAATATATCTATATATCTACCACTTTATCAGGAAGATCATACAAGAGATACTGTAGTACTTCCCCAATAAGTCTATCACCATCACAACTTTATATCTTCTGATTTTAAAAAAAAATATCAACTTATTTAACACAGAATTTTAATTAGTCCTATAACCACTTTCCACCCATTAAAATGCGATGAACCTAATCCTTTACTTTTGTTAAAACAAGGCACCAATCACTCTCATACCTCTATATCTTACCTTTATAATATGAGAACTTTAACGAAAAGCATCTGGTACGGTTCACTTTAACGAAAAACCATATTTTTACACTAAAAAGTCAATCCTGGTACTATTCACTTTACCCTTTATTTTGTCCTTATCATTAAAACTCAAAGTTTTCAAGCCATTTTCATTAGTTTTCCTTTATAATATATTAATAAAAAATAAATTTACGTATTATAATTTGAGTAGAATAGTACTGTCATCGAGTTCCACCTACACCAGAAAATTGTTCCTCGCACTTGTAGTGGGGAGGTCACCTTAATCATGCATGTGCCTATAAAAGGATAAGCTCCCAAGACAAAATCCAAGTTGTGAGCTGGAAAACATAAAATAGAAAAACATCCTCATTTCAGTCCCCTAGCTTACTTATCAGCATTCATATTTTCTTGTTAGTTAAACTTCCGAAAATGGTACTTACTACTTAGTAATCATTTTTTCTTTCTGAGTAATATACTTCTTGTCTTGGTTAATGGAATTCGTTGAAGTATTTGTTTCTCGGACTCAACGATATATAAACTGAACATGTTAATGTATGTTTTCTTCAGGAGGGAGGGAAGATGGGTTGGACTGTGGCCGGTGTCATGGACTACAAAGGGCTCCCAGCCAACAAGTCCAGAACTGGTGGTTGGGTGGCTGCTGCGCTTATATTAGGTAAGAGTAATGTTATTCATACCATATTTTCATACTACCTTAGGTGACATTTGATGTTGAATTAATCAGATTTTTAAATTTAGTTCATTATTTAATAAACTAATAATTAAGAAAAACTAGTTAATAAATGATGATTGTGGTATACGAGAAGTCTTTCTCCTTGGTTTTGCAAATTTTTCAAATGATGTGGCTGTTCACATCAGATGCTATCTATGGTATAGAAATATGGTATAAAAACATAGTATGAATAACATTACTCATTAGGTAAATATGTGTATATGCTTTTATTTTTAATGGTTGCTGCATTTCTTCCACCACCATTTTAGCAGTTCCTGTTAATTCCAAAATTTTATGCATGAAAGTGATCATATTTGATCGACGTGAGAAAGATCATGAACGCTACTGGTTGGCCGTATGTTTGCACAACTTAGCCCTGTGATGGAGTAGAAAGGTCATGCGAAGGTGATGATAACGTAGAGGTTTTGGGGGGTGTAGAGCATATGTTTAATCTTAAGGCCGCATGGTGGCTCGGTCTGGACTATGCTATTTCAATTAAATTGGCAACTTAATAGTATTGGGACCGAACTTTTTAAATTGGACAACAGTCCAACAAATTGTGTCTTACAAGTCCCCTCCAAAAAGGCAGAACTCTATGCAGTAAATAATTTTCTCATTTTTGTTTTTGTAGGAATCGAAATATGCGAAAGGCTTTCGACCATGGGAATAGCAGTTAACCTGGTGACATACCTAGTCGGAACAATGCATTTGCCGAGTGCAACTGCAGCTAACATTGTCACAGATTTTGTGGGAACATCTTTTCTCCTGTGTTTGCTGGGAGGCTTTCTCGCTGACTCCTTCCTCGGCAGATACAACACAATTGCAATCTTTGCTTCCATACAAACACTGGTTCGTTTTTATAAATGAGATATTATATTCACAGACCTCAAATTACTTCTCCCACACATTCTTAATTTTTTAATATTTTCTACACATCGCCAACACTTGATAGAAAAATATTAAAAATTTTAAAAAATGTAGAAGAAGTAATATAGGGTGTGTGAATATAATCTCCCTTTATAAATTACGTCCAATAGAGCCCGTTTAATAATCATTTTAGCTTTCAGTTTCAAGTTTTAATTTATAGCTTTATTTAAAAAAATGAAAACAAGAAACTTGTTTGGAAACTGGAGTACAATGCATGTTTTGTGACATAAGGTTGATTCAATCTTTGCCTCAACATATCTGATGCAGGGCATGGTTGGATTAGCAATATCAGTGAAATTGCCACAGCTACGCCCACCTCACTGTGACACTACTGCCGCCACCAACCACTGCAAAGAAGCCAATGGATTCCAAATGGGAATTCTTTACCTTGCTTTATACATAATCGCATTAGGAATCGGCGGCCTGAAATCAAGCGTTTCGGGCTTTGGAACCGACCAGTTTGATGAAAAAGATGACAAGGAGAAAGCCCAAATGGCCTATTTCTTCAATAGGTTCTTCCTCTTCATTAGCACAGGAACTCTGGTGGCAGTCACGGTCCTCGTCTACATGCAAGATGAGGTCGACAGGAGTTTGGCCTATGGAATATGCGGTTTCTATGTTTATAGCCATCGTAGTATTTTTTGCAGGGACGAAAAGATACAGATATAAGAAGAGCTCGGGAAGCCCCATTGTTCAAATTTTTCAGGTTGTTGTGGCTGCTATAAGAAAGAGAAAGATGAAAGCTCCGCTTGACATTGCCTCACTGTACGAGAATAATCCTGAGGCTTTGAGAATCGATCACACAGATCAATTCCGGTAAGTTTACTTTGTACGAAATGATTAAGTAAATTTTTTCAAGGTTGTCTGTAGTCAGATTGGTGATGAAATGTTATGTTTGAGTTTGGATAGTTTCTTGGACAAGGCTGCCGTTGTGGTGGAAGGAGATTTTGAGGAGGGAAATGCTACGGGATCTAGTACCGCGAACCATTGGAAGCTACGGACAGTTACAAGGGTGGAGGAGGTCAAAATGATGGTAAGATTGCTTCCAATATGGGCCACAACCATCATGTTTTGGACGGCATACGCGCAGATGATCACCTTCTCCGTAGAACAAGCGTCCACCATGGAGAGATCAATCAGAAAATTTCAAATCCCGGCTGGCTCTCTCACAGTCTTCTTTGTGCTAGCCATAATTATCACTCTTGCTTTTAACGACCGTGTCATCATGCCTCTTTGGAAGAAATGGAATGGCCAACCAGGTATATAAATATACACGAAAACAAAAATACTAATGGTCAGTAGCGGATTCAGAAATTTTTCTATGCAGAGTCAATGCGTAACACCTCCCAAAATTTTGTTACAAAACATATCCTTTAAAATTAAACCGTAGTATTTCACTAGTGATTCATGGAACCAATAGCATTACTTGAAAAACATTCTCTTTTGTGCCATAGGTTTCACTAATCTACAGAGAATTGCAATCGGCCTTGTCTTATCAACTATCGGAATGGCAGCAGCAGCGCTATCCGAGAGGAAGAGGTTATCGTTGGCTAAATCTGCACGCAGCGCCACTGGAACTCTGCCTATTAGCGTGTTCTTGTTGATCCCACAGTTCTTCCTGGTGGGTTCTGGTGAAGCTTTCATATACACTGGGCAGCTCGATTTCTTCATAACCAAGTCACCCAAAGGAATGAAAACAATGAGCACCGGCCTCTTCCTCAGTACTTTGTCCCTCGGTTTCTTCGTTAGTAGCCTCTTGGTTTCGATCGTGACGGCAGTGACAGGAAACGAAGACGGGCAAGGATGGCTCGCAAACAACATAAATTATGGGAGGCTTGATTGTTTCTATGGACTATTAACTGTTCTAAGTGTGATCAATTTCGTAGCTTATCTTGTTTGTGCAAGGTGGTACCACAAGACACACAAACAGCATGCATTTGTTTTGCAGACGGCTTCTGCTAATGGTGCATAACTAATATGATTTGTATGTAATTCCAGCAAATGAAGTATCTTCCCCTAGCTTTGATGTGTAGTTCAGCTCGCGTAATCATTCATTACCCTTGCTCTTGTCGTCAAGAAGAAAATATCTTCTAGATATTATATGTGTCATTGATTCACTTAGGGTTTTGGTGGGAATAGTTATGATTTAGGGTTGGTTGTTTTGGGCTGTGTGGGCTCGGATGTGAGTTATGTTAATTTTGACGTTATGAATTTTTTTAGTTGGTAGTTATTTGGAGTTGGTGCTTTCATGTTATGTTAAAATTCATGTCTTGTACATGTCTTTGATGTACTGTTAAAGTTGTTTTAATGAATACCGTATTTCTTAAAAAATATGTACATGTTTGATAAGAGATTTCTTGCTTCTTCAGTAGTTCTTCAATGCCATAATCATAGAACAGAAATGAATTAAAAATGAAAAAAAAAAACCAAAAAAGATGTTCGGCACAATCCACTGAAATTGTGGAATTTATTAGGCACCAATTAACCGAAAAAATTCAATAAGTTCGGTAGACTATTGCTGAACAAGAAGAAAAAAAAAATGATAAATTTATCGCTCCGACTGTGGCATGAACACTACAGATTATTTCTTACAGGAAAACAGTCGTACATGAATAAAGCCGAGTTTTCTTCAGGAGGTGGAAAATGAGCTCGATTGTTGTTGCAGATGCTGTGGACTACAAAGGGCGCCCGGCTGACAAGTCCAAACCGGTGGTTGGCTTTCCGCAGCGCTTATAACGGTTGTGCACATGTTCTTATTTTCTTGATTGCAGCATTGATTTTGATCTGTGATTACTACGATGCGAACACGATGAAGTATAAGATTCAAACAAAATTTGCGGTTATAAGGGTGAGAAATTATAATTTCGATTATTTGTTTCTTTGTAGGGGTCGAATTCTGCGGAAGGCTTTCGACAAAGGGAATAGCAGTGAACCTGGTGACCTTCCTAGGTGGAACAGTGCATTTGCCTAGTGCAACTTCAGCCAACATGCTAACAAATGCGGTAGGCACATACTTCTTCCTGTGTTTGTTTGGCTGCTTAATCGCTGATTCCTTCCTTGGCAGATACAAGACTCTGCAATCTCCGCTGCAATACAAGCACTGTAAAGTTATCCGGTCTAATCCAATCCTAACCGCCAAACGTGGCCTTGATCCTAAATACTTCACAAATGTCATACTCCGGTGCATTGCGATATTAGCAATATCAGCAAAACTGCCACAGCTGCACCCGCCGCCTTGCAGCCTGAGCGCCAGCTACTGCAAGCAAGCAAACGGGTTATGGAAGCGACCAATTCGACGAGAAAGACAAGAAGGGGAAGGCTCAAAGGGCCTACTTCAACAGGTTTTGTCCTCTTCATCGGCTTTGGAACTTTGATCGCAGTCGCAGTCCTTGTCTACATACAAGACGCTGTGGATCGAAGCGTTGTGCACAGAATATGATCCATTACAATGCGTAGAGCAATCTTAGTGTTTTTGGGTGGGACTAGAAAATACAGATATAAGAAAAGCTTGGGAAGTCCCATTGTTCACATCCTCAAGGTTCTTGTGGCTGCTACGAGGAAGAGAAAGATGTCCTTTTGCTTACGACTTCGCCTCTTTGTAAGAAAACTCCCCTGAGGATTCAAGTCCTGGACAAGGCAGCCATTGTGGCTGAAGAAGATTTTGAGGAAAGCTCTTAGAAGTCAAGGTCAACTACAAAGGTTGAGGAGGTAAAAATGGTGATAAGACAGCTTCCGGCAACAACCATCATATTTTGGACTAGTTATGCACTGATGATGACCTTCTCTGTACAAGCAGCATCCACCATGGACAGGTCGATCGGAAATTTTCAAATCCAACTGGCTGGCTCTCTCACCGTCTTCTCTATAGAAAAATTAATGTTGCGAAATCAGGCTGTGAATTTAGACTGCACGTACGTAACGTTATTTCTAAATGAAGACTCATTTTTTCTGCTTGCAGTGCAACAACAATACAGGTTTCACAAAACTGCAGAAAATGGCAATTGGGCTTGTACTAGCAACTTTTGGGATGGGAGCAGCAGCACCATGTGAGAGGTAGAAGTTAGCAGTGGCAAAAGCCAACGGAGGATTGAGTCCTTTGCCGATTAGGGTTTTCTTGCTCCCTCAATTCTTGCTGGTGGGTTCTGGTAACGCTTTCACGTACACCGGGCAGCTCGATTTCTAGGTTTCGTCATTAGCACGGGGCTCTTCGTAAGCACCTTATCCTTTGGTTTCTTCTTCAGCAGTCTCTTGGTTTGGATTGTTAATAAGGTGATAGGAGGCAAAAATGGGGGATGGCTTGCAAAAACCATAAACCCGGGGAGGCTTGACTGTTTTTATGGGACTTTTAACCGTTCTCGGCGTCATCAACTTCAGTGCATATATTTGTTGTGCAAGGTGGTTCAAGCCACGAAAACTCACACCACCACCGGATTCTGCCGCTAGTGGCGGTTCCCCTGCTGAGGAAGATAAGTGCTAGTAGTAAAAAATCAGTGTACCCATATATAGAGTTGAGAATTTAGATTTTTACACTCGTTTTCCTCCCGGAATTTAAGTTCAGGGAGTAATATATGAACACCTGTTTTACTTTTATGAGAACAAGCAATATGTAGGAACATAGAATGTCCTGACAGAAAACCCAACAACAATTTGATGAAATCTCAAATCCAACCATTTCACTGAATAAAGTAATATCGCCTCTTTCGACCAATTTTATTGCTGCAAGTTATACAGCGATCAAAGAAATCAGAGAACGACAGCTATAAAATTGGTGTTCAACCAAACCAAAATTGGGCAAGCATTCAACCGAGTAGAAGCAAAATACAAGAGCGAACCCGCATACATAACACAGTAAGAATAAAGCACATTAATATTGATATACTCAATGAGTTTAAGTTCTCTTTGTAAACTAATTACGAGTCTGAGAACATTTATAATTTCCTACTCATAAAGATAAATTGCCACAATGCACGCGATGATCAAATATCAAACCAACCCCCCCCCCCCCCCCCTTCCCCGGGCGGTAATTGAACTATTCGATATAAAAACAAAAATATGACCAAGAACAAAAAGCAAGTAAAACACAATTATCTAACACCACATACCCCCAAACAATAGGCTGCTAACTCTGGCCAAGCAACAAGCTTTCCATTTCCTTCCTCGCTTATCTTTGATCTAATTCGCTATCTCCATATTTCTCACACACAGTGCTGAATTTATCGGTTTGAAAATCAATCCTTAGTCTCACTCTTCTTTCCGTTCCCTTCTCCGTCCCTCTCCTCCAACAACCTACCGGCCTCCACATTGTCCTGTTGAGACTTCCTCTGCGCATCGGCCGCCTTAAGCCCCTGCAATTTGGCATGATTGTAGTACGCAACACCGCCAAACGCAATCAGGTACCCCATCAAATTGATAGGTGTCACGGTATCCTTGATCACAGACCACGAAAATGCAATCAAAAGCCAATCTTTGACAACCCCAGCAACATTCATAGTCAAAGCAGAGGTCTTTCCCACTAACAGAAACACCGCCAGATTCAACGCAAACGCGCACAGTGAATTTGTCCCAAAAATCACGAAATCAAAGTGAAAACTCGAGGTCTGCCTCAACACCGGCAGCTCAACGATGACCCACGGCACGCACAAGAACACGAAACAACACGGTGCAACATAGTAAAGTGAAGTAATCGGATTCAAGCTAATACCCTTAGCATTAAGCAGAATCTGAATGAGAACCAACCTCGTGGCCTCGAACGCCACGGCCAACAGCTGCAATGTGACTCCCCATGAGTTGAATTTCGCCTCCCCGTACGCTGCGATGGCAACGCCGACGGATATGGAGACCATGTTGAGCATGGTGTCGCTCTTGAAGGCGTCCTTTTTGAAGGCGACGCCGATGGAGTAGACCGCGACGGGCATGAGGGCCTTGAGCATCTGGATGAAGGAGACGGAGAGGAAGATGTAGGCGGAGTTGGAGAACCAGAGGGAGAGGGCGTAGAGGGCGCCGATGGGGACGACGGACTTGAGGTAGACGTCGCGGGAGATGGAGACGGCGTCGACGAGGCGGAGGACGCGGACGAGGAGGAATGCGAGGGAGGAGCAGAAGGCCATGTGGATCATGGTGAGGGAGATGGGAAACGGCCAGTTGTACATTTTCCGGTCGAGGATGTACTTGTTGTAGACGATGACGGTGAAGGAGAGGAAGATCCAGACGGAGACGTAAGCGTATGAAAGGAGGACCTTCTTCACCACCCCCTCTGAAAGCGCCATTTTTTCGAAATCTGAAAACCCTAGCCCTAATCTGGGGGTTTGGTTAAAGGACTGAGATTTAAACAAGGAGGAGACTCTTTCTCTCTCTAAACCTCGTTCTCTCTCTAAAATGACCCACAGTGTGGAAGGGGGAAGAGTGGTGGAGGAGTTGCAGTCGGATTAGATGTAGATCTGTGGGATAAGGGCTTTTTGGTAATTTAGGTGGGATTTCGGTATTTTGCAACATGAAAATTGAAATACTATAACAAATTTGTAGATGTTTTACCGGTAATTAACAACACTTTCCAGAGAAAAATATTATAGTGTCTCAAAACCAATAGGACAATGTATTCAACTGATGACGTTTTATCACGGTGATCAAATTAATTATGTTTATTCACTTTAGTACGAGTTGGATTCCACCGATTATCTTCTTTTCAAAAAATAATTATTTAAGTTACTAATGTTGTTGTCAACTAAAAAAATATGTTTTCATATAATAATGTCTTATTTGTTAACATTTGGTATTGCGTTATTTGTTATGTCTTCTGTATTAATTTGGAGACACTTGTTCACATAAATGTATTAGTCATGGTGTAAGAGTTTATTTTAATCTAGATACTTTTTTTTTTTCTATTGAATTGGGTTCGTTTAGAAGTAATCATACTCCTTGTAAAGATCTATACATAAAAAATAGTATTGTTCTTTACTGTTCCACACAATATCTTAATAAAAAGTTAAAATACAAATTTTAGATATGTGCTCAGAGATGAC